TGTTGAATTTCTCAAGAACACAACTCATCAAAATTGTGTGCTTCATGCAGAAGAAATGTAAAATAGCAGCTATAGGATATATCATTTTTGAATGATGTGCCTACATTCACAATATAGAGTGAAATAAAGGCACTGAGACAGATATTAACTTCCAAATCTGAGGGTCCCAAGCTGTGTTAGAAAATATTTATTCCTTAATAGATATTAGATAATGCTAATTTGTATATCCACATTGTTCCATAGTTGTTATGTAAAAGAAAACTGTCGTCAATAAATTCACATACATTATACTTGTAATGAATCAACTGAAGGGTTCCTAAGAAAATATCCTTTTCTTTCTTGTTAGCAACACAATAAGTCAATGCATAAAAACATTTTTAAGAACTCTAGCATGATGCATGGTATTCTCTTTAGTGAATTTGTGGCCTAAGAACTTCTAATGAACCAAGCTTGGATAACCAATTTAATCAGTTTAATTTAAGTTCACTTCAAACACAAACCTTTTGTATGCAAGACCATGAGAAACAAGAATATGTAGTATGGTATTTCGAATCAATTTGGGATCAATCTAGCAAAGTCACAAATGAAATATAACAATTGCCATTATATCACATCTGATAAAATATATTTTCCTAACGTCAAGTAATATGAACATGTGACAAGAAATTCAGTATTTAATTAACTATTATGGAAGCAATGCCTCATGTGGCTACAAACTAGTATTTAAGCAAAAAGGATATGCTTTGAGCTAGAGGATAATTAACCAAGAGACCACTTCAGAAACAGCATCAATCATTGAGGAATTCATAAAAAAATCAAATTTATTACCAAAGGAAAGCAAATTTGAAAACAAGCATGAACTTACATCATCCAACAACAGACTGTTGCTGTAATAACCAATGTTAGATGCAATCTGCATCAAAGAGAATGATCAATGGTCATCCAAATAGATAGAGGAACGATGATTCAAAAGAGGTAATGTTCTAACCAGTAGAAGAGAATAAATGCACATAAGATCTCTATGATTAAAAGCCTAATTATTTAATATTTAACCATTTAATGACAAAACAAATCATTGCTGAATTTATAGCATGCAAAATAATAGCTAGAGTACAAGCTACATACCAACATAAATATTTGAACAAGGATGAACATAAAAAGAAAAGAAAAAAGAAGTTATGGCCTTAGACCAGGCATTCTCACATATATTGATAGTTTCAACAAAAAAGGCAACATTATTGATGAAGCAGGAGGGTTAGAGTTTTCCTTAACCAGTAGTTTCAAAGAGGTGTTAGTTGTCAATTTTGTTTTTATATGAGGTCTTAATATTTTTAATTGATTAAGGAGTTATATGGCTAGTATATGACTTTAATTAGAATAGAAGTTAGCAAATGAATTCAAGTTCGAATTGAACTTGGACTTTTGATTACATCGTTTAAGTTCTCTACGATTATTCTTTGTTATCAAATTTTAATTTAGAATAAACTTGAGTTGAACACTAAGTTTTAAGGTTTCATCTTTGATTATACAAAGTTCATAGTTTTCTGTTTGTTCAACAGCTTCCTTACATCAGTTGATCTTGGCTAATATGCAATTCAGAAAATAAAAAACGAGAAACATCAAACTAGACCAATATTTAGCACACAAGTCAAAGTAAACAGATGATCAGCCGAGCAAATACCAATAAGCAAAACCAATAAGACAGCACGCCATCAATGTTCTTTCATAGGTAAACAGTACCACTGAAATCGTGCTGGAGATTTGAAATACTCCATGACATAAAAAATAAACCTAAATTTTATCAAAGTTTTACCTATCTAGATACTGATGCTACTGACAACCTAATTAACGATATCAATCTGTAGGACAGGTGATTTCAACAATTTCCATGAATTGGATCAGAAAACCTAACCCAGTTCAATTTCAGTTTCAATCCCTTGCTACCCAATCATGACATTATGAAATCAAGATCCACATAACCCCACTAACAAAGAATAAATCTTTAATTACAATCAAGAACTTAAAATCAATAAACTTTCACATTTTACCGAAAAATATCTTAAAATCCATGAACTTTTCTTAGAGAAAATTATAATTGGTGGAAACTGGAAAGAGACATACAGATTAGCAGAGGGGCCTCTGTTACAGCATATTCTGGTGCAAAGCGATGCAACAATCCCAATCAACACGAAAATCAAGGTAGTTACCAGGAAACCCATATCCGATCCGGATTGGAGACAAGTTCCTGCAATGAAAATCGGGGATTTAAACTCGAATTGGGACTAAAAATCTAAACTTCGAAGCTAAAAACACTATCAGATGAGAAAAACACTATGCCTACTGATTGTTTGGTTGCAGAGAAAAACGAAGAAAAATTTTGTGGGATCTTATTTCAGAATTCTGAAGCTTCCCCTCGGTCTCACCTGGCAATCAATGTTGCAGAAGTTGCTGCGCAGTGGCTAGGCGCCCAAAAATGCCACCGCCCATCACCCAAAAATCAGAGAAAAATAGAAAAAAAAAATCAGAAAAAATTTTAATAAACACCTAGAATATTGTTTAAACAATCAGAAAAAAATGTTAATAAACACTCAGAAAAGTGAAAATTAGCTTAAATAATTAAATCAAATGGCATTAACAGTTAAGTCCATATTCCGCAGATAAGAGTGAATAATGAACAGAATCAAATTAACATAAGCAAAGCACTCACCTTCAAAATAAGAGCGAAGAATGAAGAGAATTTAAGTAGAACTTGCAACTGCAGAAGCTTGAAAACGCAACAAGAATGGAATTGAGAAGGAAAATTTTGTGACAGAGTACATGAGTCGTTAGAATCAGGGAATGGAATTGAAATTAGAAGATGGAGGCTGTTTGTGTTATATCCATAGATTTTCTGTTGATTGAAACGACGCCGTTTCAATTATCCAGAAAAAATTTTTAAAAAATTGCCCCGTCTTCCCCGATTAGTCGATTGTTCGGAGCCCGGAATGTCTTTATTCACGGATGGTCGCGACCGAACGCGATTATGGCGGCTAGAAAGGGCTGGGCGTCCGGCTAATCGAAGAAGACGGAGGCGATCGGCAAAAATAGGCCGCCGAACTTGGAATTCTGCAACACTGGATCAGACCTGGGATTTTGGTTTGATTCTGGATTAAAAAGCTCAGCCTCCACCGCATCTGCTTCCTACTACCACACCGAACACCAGTCGAAAGGAAAATCTTCTTACTTTTCCTTTAGAATCAGGACTGGTAATACCAAATGCATGGGTAGGTCGGCTCTTACTCATTTAAGCTTCTCTTCTCTGCGTTTTCTTTCTACAAACACCTCCAAATCTGCTGTAAACGAACTTGCCAGTCTCTGCTCCAAAGGGTACACAAAAGAAGCCTTTGAGAGGTTTAAACCTCAAATATGGGCAGACCCATCTCTCTTCTCTCACCTTATTCATTCTTGTATCTCCCAGAAATCACTTTCTTTAGGAAAACAGCTTCATTCTTTGATAATTGTATCTGGGTGTTCAAGGGACAAATTTGTGTCAAATCACACACTAAACATGTACGCCAAATTTAGAGAGCTACAGAGTGCTTTGGCTTTGTTTGATGTTATGCCATTAAAGAATATAATGTCTTGTAACATTTTGATTAATGGGTATCTGCAAATTGGTGATTTGGACGGTGCCAGACAGGTGTTTGATGAAATGACTGAGAGAAATATTGCCACATGGAATGCCATGCTTGCTGGTTTCATTCAGTTCGAACATAACGAGGAGGGGTTAAGATTGTTTAGAGAAATGCGTGAGTGGGAGTTTATGCCTGATGAGTATGCTCTTGCTAGTGTTCTTAGGGGCTGTGCAGGTTTGAGAGTTCTGTCTGCAGGGAGGCAGGTTCACGGTCATCTGATAAAATGTGGGTTTGAGGTCAATTTGGTTGTTGGGAGCTCTTTGGCTCATATGTATATGAAATGTGGGAGCTTGGAGGAAGGAGAAAAGGTGATTAAATCTATGCCAATCCGCAATGTGGTTGCTTGGAATACACTTATTGCAGGAAAAGCTCAAAAGGGGTGCTCTGAGAATGTTTTGGTTGAGTACAATATGATGAAACTGTCAGGTTTTAGGCCTGATAAGATTACTTTTGTGAGCGTGATTAGTTCATGTTCTGACTTGGCAACGCTTGGACAAGGTCAGCAGATTCATGCTGAAGTGATCAAGAATGGTTCTAGTTCAGTCAATGGTGTGATAAGTTCATTAATTAGCATGTATTCAAAGTGTGGGTGTCTGGAAGGTTCTGTAAAAGCCTTTTCTGAATGTGAAGAACCTGATACAGTGTTGTGGAGCTCAATGATTGCTGCTTATGGGTTTCATGGACGAGGAGAGGAAGCCATCAAGTTGTTTGACAAGATGGAGCAGGAAGAGTTGGAGCCAAACGATGTTACCTTCTTGAGCTTACTTTATGCTTGTAGTCATTGTGGTTTGAAAGAAAAAGGACTTAAAATCTTTGACCTGATGCAGAAGTATGGACTAAAGCCTGGTGTACAACACTATACTTGTGTAGTTGACCTATTTGGTCGTTCTGGTTGTCTGGATAAAGCAGAGGTTACAATAAGATCAATGCCAGTGCAGGCAGATGTTATCATATGGAAGACTTTGTTATCTGCGTGTAAGATCCATAAGAATGCAGACATGGCAAAAAGGGTTGCCATAGAAGTACTTAGGCTTGATCCTCAGGATTCCGCTTCTTATGTACTCCTTTCAAACATTCATGCGTCTGCTAAAATGTGGCAGGATGTATCTGCTGTAAGAAAATCCATGAGAGATAGGAGAGTGAAGAAGGAACCTGGTATAAGCTGGTTGGAAATCAAAAATAAGATTCATCAGTTTTGCATTGCTGATAAATTCCATCCACAATCAGAGGAGATCGATTTGTATTTGAGAAAACTAACTTCAGACATGAAGTTACGGGGTTATATACCTGACACTGCATCTGTTCTGCATGATATGGATAATGAGGAAAAAGAATACAACCTGACTCATCATAGTGAGAAGTTGGCTATTGCTTTTGCTCTAATGAATACTCCCCCAGATACTCCAATAAGGGTGATGAAGAACCTACGAGTTTGCAGTGATTGTCATGTCGCTATTAAGTTCATATCAGAGATCAAAAACAGAGAGATAATCGTGAGGGATGCTAGTAGATTTCATCATTTTAAAGATGGGAAATGTTCTTGTGGAGATTATTGGTAAGAGGATTCTCTACCACCCAAGCAGTAGATGATGCCATCTATTTTTTCTATTTAGCTAGTTTACAATAATCTAATTTGGCTCCCATATTTTTTTGGTTATAACCACGAGTAGACATTCACAAATGGAAGAATCACATTTGCTTCCTAATTGCTTGAAACAGTAACATTTTTTTAGAGGTTCAGATGAGTGTGTATTGTGTTGTGCCTGCATATCTTCAGTTGAATCTATTTCAGCTGAACAAAAAGTAGCTAGAAAAGAAATTAAACTTTTATTTGATGAATTTGTTTGCTTATTGCAGATAATTAAGAATGTTAATGTGGAAATTATTTTAGGAAAAATTGGAGCTAAATGATGTTACCTAATTGACGTTGCAATTTGCTTTTCAAATTCAAATATGATGAACTTGGAAAGCCTTTTTTCACAATATCTCAATCTTATCTTATCTTAACCATTAATAGCGCTTCCAAAACGGCCTTAATGTGGCAGCCATTCAAGTTACCTTGAGGGTATACATGCTTCTGCCGTTTGCGTTTTTCTGTTATCAGACAAAACTTCAAGAAACTACCCCAGATTGCTTGATCATACGTTGATTTGCGGACGAAAGGAACTTGCTACCTGTTGCCATGTGCTAAAATTTTTTGTAAATGGTGCAGCCAGAGAGCTTGGTACCAACGTTGATTCTCAAACAAATCCATTTTCCTTCTTCCTTGCTTTTTTGTTTTTTTTTTTTTCGTGGGGTGGGAGGGGTAATTTTGCTTGGAGTTTCAAGCATAGCATATGCATCTAATGTCATCAATCAGTTCAGAAAGGTATGTCAGTTCACTTAATTCTCATTTTCTCCTAATTTGTAGACCCAGATTCTTTTTCTGGGTAATTTACTTTTTGGCCACAGTTGTCATTTAGCATAACAATCAAAATTTTGGTGCATTTCTTTTACTGGATATCACTGGTATTGGCTATTTTTTTCTGGGTTGCTTGATGTTCTTGATATTGATTGTATTGGATGTAGATAGTCTGACGTAGAGGTTTGTTGTTTAACAGTTAACTGGAAAGCTGTGTGCGCGGGAACCACTTTGTGCTAGATTAGGGCTATGGCTTTGAATGGATCGTAATCATGATTGATTTCCCTTTGTAAAACAGAAATTTACAATCAATTGCTTTAAAATTTCCTTGCTTTTTTTTTTTGAGGAAGGGCTAACACGTAGTTTAATTTCCTCATTTGAATGAACCAAAAGCAAAGAGGCAATCACTGATGCTGCTGCTGCTTATGTGCCACCAACCCCTTCAGAAGAGCAAGAGAATAAAATCGCCAAGCTGTAAGAGTCATTATGCATCTACGTTCATAACTATATTTTTCAATCCCATTTTATATTTGCTTTTTTTTTTTTTTTTGAACGGTTACAATTTAGGGTAAGGAAAGAGAGGTATTTACACAGTATTCCTAGTAAAAAAATAAAATTGCCTAGTTGTAAGACTAGGGATGTCAATTTGTTCTGATCCCCGCGGGCTCCGTGAGGATTCCCGGGATGGAACGGGGAGAAATATTCTTTTTCACCGACCGAGAACGGGGAGTATTTTCTCTCTGTGAAAATTCGCGGGAAATTTTCCCGTTTCGCGGGGCCCTGTGGGGATCCCCATCCCTATAAAAAATTTAAAAAATATGTAAATTAGTTTTATTTTAAATTTAATTCAACCTTCAAACTTAAATCCAATTTAATAAAATTTAGATTTAATCTAATTTTATCCAATCTATTATTAACCTTTTAGTTATTTATGTTAGATT